CAGCATTCAGAACCAGGCTCCTTTTTTCCAAGAGGTAGATAAAAAATCTGAACCCACACTCATTTCTGTATATACATAAAGTTCACTAAGTGAACGTGGAGCAAACATGTTTAAAAAGGTCCAGCTTTTACTTTGAAGGTCTCAAAGGTCTTCATTTCCAGTCGGCATCGAGTGTTAGCAAACTACAGGCAAAAATGACCGTGTATGTGTGGGCATAGCCTAACTGGCACAAAAAAAGAAGAGTTAAAGTAAGCCAATATTTACATTAGCATAGCTGAAAAATAATAATGAAGGTTTACCAGCATAAACATGACTTTCCCTAATACCACAAATCAGGCTTTTTGTTTGTTGTTTTGATGCCATGTTAAACTAACCACCTGCTGCCTGTAACTCAATATTTGCATACTGACATAATTTCACTTACAAAGGCAAAAATTCATATTTCAGCTGATCCGCTCACAGTTTATGATGTTTTTTCAACCACTACATAGATATATTTTTTATCATTCTCTTTTAAAACCTCAAACTTCAACTGAGTTACAACAGCACGTGGTATTGAGTACAGGCGGTACTCAGAGAAAGATACTAAGGTTGAAGAAACGTGTCAGCGAGTCACATTTTCAACACAGCGAAGGAGGATGAAACTATACATCAAATTTCTCATATCCTGCCACAGTTAAAAAAGAAATATGAGCGGAAAAAAGATACCACAGCGTTGGAAGTATATGGAGTGCACTGAAAGTCTGATTAGGGTTTAAATGAAAAACATCACTGAGTATGTCTGAGGGTGTTAGAGAATAATGACATTGAAAGAAACACAAACCAAGCACGCATAGCATTTAATATCCTGCAAATGTGGAATTATTTTTGTTTTTGTCACACCAATTTGCTCCTTCCTGCCTCTAGTAATGAGTTTTTTCATCTCCAGCACCTTTCCTGTCTCTGATCTGCCTCTAACAGCGTTTCAAAAATTGCTGTAACCTAGCTGCACGGAAGCCTTTCAGCGAACAAACACAGCTTTCTGCTCTTATCTATTGATTTCAGTGATGACCAGCATAACAACAAGGTGACTGAGGGAGTCATCGGCAGGAGAAATTCAGCCATTTTCAAAAAGTTTTTTTATTCCTTCTTCTAAACGAAAACAGCGTAGATAAAGGAGAAATTGAAAACGTTCATCTTGTGTGCACAGATCACCATGACCTTACCATGTCGTGCAGAAGCCTGACATAAGGCCTAAATAAAATAAAAAGCGGAAGATTTTCTTTCTTTCATTCCGCACAGCTGAATTTTACTTTCTGGGAGGTTTCAGCTCCAAGGACACTTACCAGCAATACTGCACTGGAAAATTCTCTTTTAAACCTATTTGCAAGAATGGTTTCAGCACATAACGCAAAAAGAAATTTCCTCATCTACTGGTCTTATGACTTGTTGATGTACCTTTCTTGAACCAACTGTTACCCTGCAGGTGTAATAATCCCTTATGGTTTGTGTGTTTCTTTCTATAGTGTAGTATATGAGTGTGCAAGTGTGCGACTGCGTGATTAGCTGAAGGTGGGTTTAGTTTGCTGGTGCTAATAAAAGCAGTGCCGGAACGCACACATTTCACATGGTGCTTTAATTTGAGTTACAGTTTTTATCAGTCAGGCTTGAAATGCTTCACAGTTATTGTGAAGCCTCTTTATAAAACAAAACACTGAAAATTTCCCTGAGTGACAGCCGACAACTTCTGAGATCTAAAAATCACAGAGGAAGAGACGATTCATACCTAAGGCCAATTAATTAGAATTAATAAACTCTTAATAATAAAAAAATATTAATAAACCCTTTTAATAAATAAAAGAGTTGCGTCTTTGGACTCTGGGGGGGAAGTTAGAGTACGTGCAGACATGAAACTAGTGTACAGACACAAAACCATTGCAGTACTGAGTGTATACTGCAATGGCAAAAATTATCCTAACGAACTCGGATTTTTGCTGCTATCTAGGAAGGGTAGCAAAGTGTAATCATTTATGTGGCTGTTCTATCATTAGCAGCTCAAATTTCTTTTATTTATGTTGTTATTTTACACAGCCCTTAATATCTTCTATGCTTTCTATACTGTTCAAGCCCTCTCGCTCTAAGCTTCTCTGCTTAATTTTGCCTTTGTTTCACCTGTTTTTCAAGACATTATACATTTCATTCCTGTTTTACTGAGCTTTTGTAAATTTCTCTTTAATATTTTTTTTTAATTTTTAGTCATCGTCCTTTAAGAAAAATACTTTTGATTACATTTTTACAAAGGACAAAATGAAAATCAAAAAAGGACACCTATCATGAAAGGAGAGCTGACTGCAGTGATGTTATGAAAGAAATTAATAAAAAGGAGATGAATTTCATCTCATTTTGCTAGTGAAAGAAAAGCAGAAGTGTTTGACTGTAGCATTAAATACTTCTTTGGGTGATACAACACAACATTAAAACCAGATGCCAAATATCGTTTAGGTTCCTCGAATGCTGTGAAAACAGTTTTGAATCGTCGAGGTAT